GAGAGGAGCAGAGGACGGGGAAGGGAGAGCTCACAGATGGATACACGGCTTCTGGCACAAACCAGCCAAACTACCCGCTCTAAAGTAGCAGTAAGGTGATTGCAGCTTAAAATCCCTTCAAGCTGAAGTGGTTACAGTCATTGGGTGGGAAAGAGGAAGGAAATGGAACCGTTTGCAGGCAGTGATAATGGGAAACTTAACATCTGCTGAAAAAAAGAAAAAGGTCGTTAAAAGCTTCGCCCGCCCTCAAAAGCATTTGCGAGCTGGACTGGAAATGCTGGTGCCCACCTCGTGCCCAGCAAAAGGGTTCAGAGGCAGCTGCTGCTTTCCTGGGAGCAAAGGGTTAATGTGGCTTAAAATTCTCATCACCAGGGGAAAGGATGGAGGAAGAGCCGGAGGCTCCAGCGGCCGGGAAGAAGCCAGGCGACGGAGGGTGGGCGTGGGGAGTGGTGTTCCACTTCTTCCTGGTAAGCGGAGAACAAATTCCCCAAAACCCTCCCGGAGCTGGGGCTGATGGAGAGTCTGGAGTCCCCGTCCCTGGAGGGGTTCAAGGCCAGGCTGGATGAGGCTTTGGGCAACCCGGGCTAGTGGGAGGTGTCCCTGCCCATGGCAGGGGGTGGCACTGGGTGGGCTTCAAGGTCCCTTCCAACACAAACCATTCTGGGATTTTAGGAAATGTCCCCTGAAAACATCTCAGCTGGTGCCCAACCTGCAGCCCAGGGCCAAAAGGCAGCACCCACAGGTTACACTCTCCCGGGGGGCCTGGGCACCCCGACACCCCTTACAGACACTCATTCTCCACGTCCAGGCTTTCATCCCACACACCAGCTTCCCACCAGTGACGAGGACGCCATCCCCCAGATAGGAAAGATGGAAACGCAGGAAAGTTTTCCCCTCTCCCCCTCCATCCAAAGGAATTCGCTGCCAATCATTAACCACCCGGGGCGCAGGGAGGGGGCTAAAATTAAGGACACAACCCGTCCTTTGCCCCCGCGGCGGGACAAGCCTGGGAACCCGCTCCGGGCAATGTCCAGCCACCTCTGCTCAGCACCCCATCAACTGCCAGGGGTGGCTCAGAGTGCTCCGACCCAGTCGTTAGTATTAAAAAATAACTTATAGAGCAAAAAAAAAAAAAACCTATCAGAGTCAGGCTGTAGTGTTATTTTGGTCCTTTTTCCAAAAAACCCCAATGAGAACCTGGATCTAGTGTAATTTTGGTCCTTTTTCTTTGGAAAAGCCACTTTGCACAGAATTTTTTTTTTTTTTTTGAGGGTCTGTTAAGATGAAACCGCAGCGTGGCCACCACAAACCCACTCTCCCCCAACACCTCACCACTTCGCGGGTCCCAGTTTGTTTCTCCCCCAACACAACAAATTATCTGAGCAA